TTTGAGTAATAAGAACTGATTCTATTGTTTATATGAAAAGTGACATGATATAGATGTATAAGGAAAAGGTAGTTGAAGAATTGAAGTGATGAAAGCCAAGTTATTAATGATAATACGAAAGATTAAATTGAGAAGGTAACATGAGAATATGAATAGAATATGTGTAGACAATATCTTTATCTATTAATGCAGTAAAAATTTGATAACGAATTTTCTTAAAAGAGGGAGATTTGTAACATCCCAAATCAGTGACTAAATTGTAAATTTTGAAAAATATGTGATCGATTTAGAAACAAGTTAAAAGTTCAAGGACTTAAATAGGAATATTTCAATATTGGATTAAATGGTAATTATGGAAAGTTTAAAGGGTATAATGGTAATTTTATAAGAAAGATTTTTATTTCTCCTTTATATATGATATAACATGTGGAAAATGAAGGAAAGAAAAGTCTGGAAAGATGGTTCAGCTTGCTTCTTCTTTTTCCCGTGAGCTCAGTTTCAAGGTGAGTTTCCTATAAGTTGATTATTCCTTAATTTTATGATGGTTTTGATTCTTTGGATAGTAAGGAAGCTTATGGAAGTTTAAAGATAAGTAAAAAAAACTCAAAAATGGATATGTTATGAGAGATTAAGTAATAGAGTTTTTAAGTGAAATTTTGAATAAGAAGGTTTAAATGAATTTGGAAGTTGAATTTGACTTTTTCATAGGTATTAATAAGAAGTTATAAGTGTTAGAACTAAGTTTGGATTACATGGAAAACTTAGTAAATTTCTTAGTTTCAAGAATTGGAATGAGATGTTCAAGTTTTTAAGGTGTTAAGAAGTTAAAGGATAGTTAAAATGGTTGTTGTTGAGTTTGGTGGTATGAAAGGGGATTTAGTATGGAATTTTTGGTGAAGTGTTGTTGATTTTTGGGTGAAATAGCATTTTTGGGTAAGGGGTACCGATACCCTATGAATGGGTACCGATACCCTAAGACCAATTTTGAAGAACATCTTCATGAGGTATCGATACCTAAAGGAGGGGTACCGATACCATAGTTATTAATACCATCAGGCATGTATCAATACCTGCAAACGTCGAATTTAATTTGGGTATCGATACCCCAGTAGTGTACTGATACCCTCTTAAAAGGAAAATATGATTTTTTCTCATTAAGCTAGCTTAAGTTATTAGCATCGAATTATAATGTTTAGGCTTCTGATAATCATTTTGAAAATTATATTTATGTAGATACTAAGCCTAAATAAGTTCCAGAACATTTGGCAAGTAAGATCGATCGAGGGAAATATAAGAGATCGATATTGACTAATGAGGCCAGGTGAGTGTATCTTATTTGAATATAGGATTATATGGAAATTTGACTTGCTATAAGTCATTTCCTCTAAGTCTAGTGCATGAAGTCATAAACATAAGTATGTGAATGATATCATTTGTATGTATGCATGAATATACTTATTGATATGTTGTGTATGTGCTACATAATTTATGTCAAATGATTTGTGTAAATTTGTCTGGTATGTATTACATATATGTGAATATAAGAGAATAAAACATAAATTATATGAGAAAGTATATGAGTTATATGTTTTACATAATATGAGTGATTTCACAAGAAGTAACATGAGCTATGTGATACAAAGTTATGTGATTACATGATCATAAGAGATAAGACATGTGATATGAATGTGTGATTATGAGATAACCTGAATGATAAGGTCCATGTTATGTGTTATGAGAGCTAGGGGTATAGCTGGTATGCCAAGAGTCGAGGGTTCTACGTTGTCCTTCGGGACATATATGTAATTATGTGGAACATATATGTGGTACTTCGGTACACTTATTTGGTCCATTGTATTGTATATATGGTTCTTATGGAGTGGTCCTTTGGGATATAGTGGTCATTCGAGACAAATATTTAGTGCCCCTAATGGGAATTTATTCGAGCTGTGGTGACAGCATTCGTGCACAACCTCAATGTACTCACATATCTTTAGTTCTCACATGTGTACATGGGCTAATAAAGAAATACCAATAAATACAATATATGTGGTTTATATGCATTGTGCTATGAAATGTGTTACAAGAATTATATGATGTTATATAATGTGTATCAATAATAAATACAAGATCATATGATAAAAGAATTAACGATAATAGTATGAATAATAGTAAAATGTTAAAGATGATATATATGGGTGTGGATGCATTTGTTTATATGTAATATTATATGATATTATCTGATATGGTGTTTATTTTCTGGTTAAGAAGGTTAGGTATAAGAGATAGAAGTGATAACATGATAATGGAATATAAATTAGGAGATATTGTCATAAATGAATATACAAATATGTCATACATATTATATAGGGAGGCATATAGGTTTAAAAGAAATTATGTTGTAAGCCTTATTATATTTCTATATGGTATAAGGTATAGTACAAAGATCCAAGAAATTATATGATAAAGCGATAAGAACTGGGTGGTAATAAGGTAATGGAATATAGGAAATTATTATATAAGAAATATACTATAACGATTATGGGAAACTAGGATGTAAGCTAAAGGGAATTGATATGGGAAATATATGAAAATAAGTACATGATTGTGCAGATACATGAACATGTAAGATAACTATGGGATAAGGAGGTATATATTATATGATGTATATGAAGTGATAAGAACAATATATGAGTTATGTGAATAAATATATAAGAGTATGATATAAGTTATATAATTGATATAAATGTTAAGTTCATGATTAAATGGTAAGAGGGATTAATGAGAATAATATTGATAATTATAAGAAGCTTAATAATGATAATGAAAATGATGTATTAAGATAATGATGATAGATGTGCATGTTTATAGTTGCTTATATTAACTGTTTATGATGTGTGTGTATTACATGAAATATGAAATGTTATGCATTGTTAAATATCTAGAGTTTTTAGTATACGTGTTTTTATGCCTCACTAAGTCATCGACTTAGCATGTGAGTGTTCCAAACATAGGTTTCAATGAGATAGAGGAGTAAGACAGGTCAGACTCTCCTTCCCAAAGATTATATCAGAAAAACATTTTGAATTATGTATTTAGTTTTATTGAAAGTAGTTGACATGTAAATAAAAATTTGGATCGCTCTGATAAATTTTGTAAAAGCATATGTTTTATATGATATAAATTATTCTGTTTATAATGAATATTAAAATAAATTTTAGTCATTTTGTAAAAGTAAATGCTTTGGAAAGTTAATGTGACACCTCGAACTCGGATCCAAGTCGGATACGAGTTGAAGGTGTTACAAAAAGGATTTCAGCTTTTGTTTTTAAAGATGAGGCATTGCTCCATTAGTCATTCCTCTTTTGTTATAGGATTAAAAATGTCATTTTTAATATCCACTGGGCCTAAAATGAAGTCCAAAAAAAATTTAATTGGACCAAGTTTTCCTACAAGGCTAACGAGCTTACCTAATCATCGCAGGTTCACCTGAAACTATTAACCCATAATTCGAAGCATCAAATTTTTTCTTCAAACAAGATTTTCTATATAAGTAGTGACTTTTATAGTTTTTACTAAATGAGATTTCACCTTTTTTCCCTTTTATTTATTCTCATTCATAAATTAATCTTACACACAAAAAGAAACAACATTGTGTTATTTTAGAAACAAAAATCAGGTAGTTCTATGGTACAGTAGCTTAATACAAGAGTAAGGAAATGTACGATCGAAAATGTTATAAACAAAAATAATATTTTCGGTTCTGCGCAATTTAAAATGTTACTTTTTCTTAATATTTTTCGGATGCAAACATTCTTCGTAATATTTTAGGTTGCGCGTAACTTAAAATATTATGTTATTTATAACATTTTTCGGTTGCGCTTTTCCTTAACTGTGTATTAAGCTGATGTACCGTAGAACTCCCCCAAAAATCAGGACTTGACTTGATGGAACAATTAGATAAATGTAATGAGGTCATACTATATATTAGAAAATTAAATTAATAAAATTAAAAATAAATTAAATAAAAGGATATCTATTCGTCCGGATCACACGCCTACAATTTAAGAAACGACCTTGTAAATCCTATCACGAGAAGATGTTGAATTGATTTTATTATTTGTAATTTATTAATCGATTTTATAACTATATAATTATACATAACATATATATATATATATATATATATATATATATATATATATATATATATATATATATATATATATATATATATATATATATATATATATATATTCAATTAGTCTAGGGTGTATAAAACAATTTTTGTTTATAATTTTTCTTAATTATGAAAATTATACACTTACTCTGCAGAAATAAACCCCTTTATGTGTTGAATATATGCATAATATTTAAAAATATATAATAACTACATATAATTATATATTAAAAATTATACACTTACCCTGCAGAACAACACTCTCATTGACCACATAAACCCCTTTATGTGTTGAATATATGCATAATATTTAAAAATATATAATAACTACATATAATTATATATTAATTTAACCAAAACTATAATGTATGCACACATACATATTACGTACATAAACATGTATAATATAATATGGGTTAAAATGAAATAAATGCAAAAACTGCATGTCAAAATTGAGGAACACAAATGAATAATGATAAAAATTTGTAATTTACCATAATATATTATACAAAATACTTGTTCGAAATATTTTTAACTATTTATAATGAACGTTCCATTATACTCAGTTGGTAGAGCGCAAAGCTCTTAGTTTTGTGGTCGTGAGATTGAGTTTCACTGTGGGTAATTCATATTGGAGGTCTTCCACAAAAATTACTCTCAATCTGACGTTGGGGGTAACCTACTATCTTATATTTTAATAGGGTTAACTAATTATTTTTAAAAAAATAATGATTTAACGATTTTACTTAACTGGTCTATGCTCTTTTAAATTTCCCGCATCATTCCAGCGGGACTGCAGAAAACCCTAAGCCCTACGAATTCATTACTATCATTGCAACCGCCCCTAAAGACCGGAAACCCCAAGAGTCCCTTCCTCTCTTCACTCTCTTCAAGCAACCTTGATGCAGCTGCCATTTCTTTTTTGTTTACAGGTAAGCTAAAACTCTTCTTCTTTTTCTTCTTCTTTTCAGCTTGTAGATCTTGAAACTTTTCCTATGCTTCTAATTAAATGTTTGTTATTGATCTTGTATTCCATTCTCAAAAAAAAAAAAAACCCTAAAACTCTAATGATTTGTTGTGGGCTTATAGGAAAGTGAAGGGTCCGTTACCCATTGTTTCCGATGTTCCTAAATGAGTCCCCTTAACCATTTTCCTCTATGTTAGCCAAGAAAAAGAAAATCTGGGTTTGGTTGAAACGGTTTATATGTTTTGAATTGCTTATGGTCATGTAATCTGTTGGGAGAAGACATGTTTTGATTTGAATATGGTTTAGAAATTGATGCAATAATTGTTACTTATTTCGTGTAAAAATATCAGAAGCAGGAGCAGCTTGTATTTTAAAAAATGGTGAGGGTGAGCGTTCTGAACGATGCACTCAAGAGCATGTACAATGCAGAGAAGAGGGGAAAACGGCAAGTGATGATCAGGCAGTCCTCTAAAGTTATCATCAAGTTCCTTTTGGTAATGCAGAAGCATGGTTTGTTTCTCCTATAATCTTTGCCGTTTAGCATTCATTCTAGTTTAACTCTACGGTTACTCGGATTTAGGTGTGTCAGATTCAAGGAAATGTCATACATGGATAAGTTCAATTTTTGCAAGTTTTTTCACATATTTAGAGCCGTACATGTTCGTATTCATGTTGGGGAATTGTATGAGGAGCAACATAGGTTTTAATCCGACTTATATGCTATGAAAGCTGCAGAATGTAGATACATGGGTTTTGATTTGTATTGCAGGTTACATTGGAGAGTTTGAGTATGTAGATGATCATAGAGCTGGTAAAATCGTGGTTGAACTAAATGGAAGGCTGAACAAGTGTGGGGTTATCAGTCCTCGTTTTGATATCGAAGTGAATGAGATCGAGGGTTGGACTGCTCGGTTACTTCCTTCCAGACAGGTCAGCTAATAAACTTCATATGGCCTTAAACTTTTTTGTTTAGCTTTTGATGGAAATGTTTTGAGTTTGAGAAATTTTAGTTGGAAGAAAGAAATGTACTTTGATTTATGAATATTATTATTTGGTTTTATTAGTATGTGGCATCTGTGGTCGTAATTTGTAATCAAGTTCACTTGAATTTAAAAAGATCAAGCTTGATTGGAAATTTGACACTCACTTTTAAAGCACGAGCCATGAGCTTGATACAATATAAAAGTTGAATTGTTTGGGCTTGCTTAATTGAACCCCTTTACCGAGGAATTGGAATTACATGTACTTCCAACTTTGATCATTTTTGGTCAAGCTCGAGTTTTGAGTTTGGCTTGAGATTTTTGGTTACTGATTAAAATTTTAGAAAAAGCTTGATTATATATGAGATTTTTATGCGTCCACTGTTTCAGTTTGGATATATTGTGCTCACCACATCTGCTGGAATCATGGACCACGAAGAAGCCAGAAGAAAGAATGTTGGTGGAAAAGTAATTGGCTTCTTCTATTGAGAGACACATTTCCTGAGAAATCTCATTTTCAGTTTGGATTGAACTCGTATCGAGGTGTTGGTATTATTTTGTAGTTTATGAGTTATATTTTGATGTTTTGTTTACGTAGTTTGCGGTTATGAACTGTTGGATTTCGGATTTCCTTTGGTAATAGTCGAAAGAGATTTATATTTAGGAGTTCCATTCAAACTTCTCTTTGGATGAACTTGGGTACAGATGTTTTAAAGCACATATAATCGGTCTTATAAGCATGCATAGAGAATTGGCTTGATTGTGGTAAAACTAATATTTATGATACAAATGAAGATACTAATATTTTATTATTATTATTATTATTATTATCATTATCATTATTATTATTATTATTGTTATTATTATTATTATTATTATTATTATTAAATATATTAAATACATATATAAAAAATATTACAAGCCCGAATGGAAGCCCAATTACAAACAGTGGCCCAGACCCAAAATCCTACAGTAAACCCTAAACCCAATTTAGGGTTTGTATCATCCTCAGCCGCCATCTTCAATTCCAGCCGTTGGATCTGGTTTGATCCAACGGTCCACCATTTGCCAGAGGAAACCCTAGGGTATCTATACCCTAGGGACACGTCCCAGCGCCGTCGTTGTTGGTTCCAGAAGCCTTCACCGCCACACCCACTCCAGCCGCACACGTCTTGCCCAAAATGGTGAGTCACCACTGGAAGTCCGGTGACTCACCGAAGAACTTCTTTCGGACCGGTCTGAGACGAACACCGGTGGTGGCTATAAAAGCCACCACCCATCTGCGAAAAAAAAAAAAAAGGACAGAGACGGAGAACGGAGAAGAAAAAGACAGAGAAAGAAAAAAAAAACAAACTAGTACCAACGATCTCAGCAGCAAAGAACCAGAAGAAAAAAAGAGAGAAAAAGGAAGAAGAGACTTACCAAGGAAGCCTCGACCACCGGATCTCGTCAGAATCTTCGAAACATCGAAGGTATTTTTGTAAGATTCGCTCCGATTAGGAGCTTTTTAAAGGAAGAGAACACCGGGACCGTCCTTAGGACGGTCCGATCTATCTATTAGTATAAAAATAATTTTTTCCGGCCACCGGATGCGGTGGCCGGCGGTGATATTCACGGCGGCCCACGGTGGCCGACCGGTAACCGGCTTCCCTCCGATGAGGGAAGCTAGAGAGAAGGCAGAGAGTTTAAAACTCTCTCAGTGAAGAAAGAGAGAAGAAAATAGAAAATGAAGGTTGGCCCTTCGGGCCAGCCGGTTTTGGACTCTTATAGTCCTTCCCGAACGACGTCGTTTCGGGAAAGACTATACGCGTAATTATGAAATAGTTAAACCCCGTCCGCAGTCCTTCGTATTTGTAAATTTTACATTTTGGTCACTAAACTGAATTTATAATAATTTTAATTCAGTCTTTGAATTTTAATTTTATTCATTTTAGTCCTTTTTATTAAAATAATATATTTAGGATAAATGACAAATTTAATCCCTTAATTTTAATAAATAAATTTTTTATCCCTAGTTCATATTTTTAATTAATTTTATTATAAAATTTGAATTTTAGATAATTTCATTTTGGTCACTAAATTATTAAATTAGAAAATAAAATATTTAATCCCTATAATTTTAATTAGATTTAGTTTTATTTTTATTATAATTTAGTTATTTATATGTTTTCATCTTACTGCCTAAAATATATTGTTTTAGTGATATTTTTATTTTATTATATTGTATAAATATTCTTATATATTCATAAATATACTTATAATAAATAGTAATTTTAATATTTATTTTTTAACATCGAAGAAAAGGACAGTCTTAATACAACTGGATGTCCTATTCTGGTATTTTAAAATTAAACAATATTATTTAAATTAATATTTATCAATATCAAAGAAAGAGCTGTCTTAAGGCACCTAGAAGTTCTTTTCTGATATTTTTAAATAAATAAATATTTTAAATAAATATAATTTGAAAATAATAGGATTATAAATTAAATATATTTGAATTTTTAAATTAATAATAAGAGACAATTTATAATTAAAAAGTACCAATTTTGGGCGTTGTAGGGGTGCTAATCCTTCCCTAAACGTAATCGACCACGAATCCCTTTTTATTATTAAAAGAACGAATTTTTGGTTATAAACGCAGATCAGTTTAATTTTTTTAATTGATGTTTTATTAAAACTCTTTTAAAAGATATTTTTTAGGTATTCGACCTACCTGACCAAAAAGGCCGATGGCGACTCCCAAATATTATATTTGGCGGGAAAAGTGATGTGAATAAATGGTTTTGAAAATAATTTGGGAGTCGCCATCGGCCTTTTTGGTCAGGTAGGTCGAATACCTAAAAAATATCTTTTAAAAGAGTTTTAGTAAAACATCAATAAAAAAAATTAAACTGATCTGCGTTTATAACCAAAAATTCGTTCTTTTTAATAATAAAAAGGGATTCGTGGTCGATTACGTTTAGGGAAGGATTAGCACCCCTACAACGCCCAAAATTGGTACTTTTTAATTATAAATTGTCTCTTATTATTAATTTAAAAATTCAAAAATATATTTAATTTATAATCATATTATTTTCAAAATTATATTTATTTAAAATATTTATTTATTTAAAAATATCAGAAAAGAACTTCTAGGTGCCTTAAGACAGCTCTTTTCTTTGATATTGATAAATATTAATTTAAATAATATTGTTTAATTTTAAAATACCAGAATAGGACATCCAGTTGTATTAAGACTGTCCTTTTCTTCGATGTTAAAAATAAATATTAAAATTACTATTTATTATAAGTATATTTATGAATATATAAAATATTTATACAATATATAAAATAAAAATATCACTAAAACAATATATTTTAGGCAGTAAGATGAAAACATATAAATAACTAAATTATAATAAAATAAAACTAAATCTAATTAAAATTATAGGGATTAAATATTTTATTTTCTAATTTAATAATTTAGTGACCAAATGAATTATCTAAAATTCAAATTTTATAATAAAATTAATTAAAAATATGAACTAGGGATAAAAAATTTATTTATTAAAATTAAGGGATTAAATTTGTCATTTATCCTAAATATATTATTTTAATAAAAGGACTAAAATGAATAAATTAAAATTCAAAGACTGAATTAAAATTATTATAAATTCAGTTTCGTGACCAAAATGTAAATTTACAAATACGAAGGACTGCGGACGGGGTTTAACTATTTCATAATTACGCGCATAGTCCTTCCCGAAACGACGTCGTTCGGGAAGGACTATAAGAGTCCAAAACCGGCTGGCCCGAAGGGCCAACCTTCATTTTCCATTTTCTTCTCTCTCTCTTCACTGAGAGAGTTTTAAACTCTCTGCCTTCTCTCTAGCTTCCCTCATCGGAGGGAAGCCGGTTACCGGTCGGCCACCGTGGGCCGCCGTGAATATCACCGCCGGCCACCGCATCCGGTGGCCGGAAAAAATTATTTTATACTAATAGATAGATCGGACCGTCCTAAGGACGGTCCCGGTGTTCTCTTCCTTTAAAAAGCTCCTAATCGGAGCGAATCTTACAAAAATACCTTCGATGTTTCGAAGATTCTGACGAGATCTGGTGGTCGAGGCTTCCTTGGTAAGTCTCTTCTTCCTTTTTCTCTCTTTTTTTCTTCTGGTTCTTTGCTGCTGAGATCGTTGGTACTAGTTTGTTTTTTTTTTCTTTCTCTGTCTTTTTCTTCTCCGTTCTCCGTCTCTGTCCTTTTTTTTTTTCGCAGATGGGTGGTGGCTTTTATAGCCACCACCGGTGTTCGTCTCAGACCGGTCCGAAAGAAGTTCTTCGGTGAGTCACCGGACTTCCAGTGGTGACTCACCATTTTGGGCAAGACGTGTGCGGCTGGAGTGGGTGTGGCGGTGAAGGCTTCTGGAACCAACAACGGCGGCGCTGGGACGTGTCCCTAGGGTATAGATACCCTAGGGTTTCCTCTGGCAAATGGTGGACCGTTGGATCAAACCAGATCCAACGGCTGGAATTGAAGATGGCGGCTGAGGATGATACAAACCCTAAATTGGGTTTAGGGTTTACTATAGGATTTTGGGTCTGGGCCACTGTTTGTAATTGGGCTTCCATTCGGGCTTGTAATATTTATTTATATATGTATTTAATATATTTAATAATAATAATAATAATAATAATAATAATAATAACAATAATAATAATAATGATAATGATAATAATAATAATAAAAAAAAATATTAGTATCTTCAGCTGCCCCTCTTTGCTCATTCTTGTGTTAACAAGAATAGGGCAAAGATGAAAAGATAATAAATTTTTTTATCCATTTGACTTTACTTTGATCATAATGGAGATATCGAATAAATTCTTCTCTTTCTCCAGATAAGTTCTTCTTATTATGAACTTTCTGCTGAGGATGATGATGACTTCCTTTCTGTGATAGAGTCATTCAAAAGGTTGAATAAGTTCTTGATGAGTTCTTCTCATTATGAACTTTCTCTAGAAAGGCTGATGCTAATCTATCTCCTTCTGCGATAGAATTATGCAAAAAGTTGAACAAATTCTTCTTATTATGAACTTCTTCTTCCTTCTTCAGATGAGTTCTTCTCATTATGAACTTTCTCTGGAAAAGCTGATCCATCAAATGATGGATTCAAGTAAAGGTTGAACAAATTCTTCTCATTATGAACTTCTTCTTCCTTCTTCAGATGAGTTCTTCTCATTATGAACTTTCTCTGGAAAAGTTAATCCATCAATTTGATGAATTCAGGTAAAAGGTTGAACAAATTCTTCTCATTATGAACTTCTTCTTCCTTCTTCAGATGAGTTCTTCTCATTATGAACCTTCTCTGGAAAAGATAATCCATCAATTTGATGAATTCAGGTAAAAGGTTGAACAAATTCTTCTCATTATGAACTTCTTCTTCCTTCTTCAGATGAGTTCTTCTCATTATGAACTCTACCTGGCAATGTTAATCTTTCAAATGATAGATTTGAATCTTTGCTAAAATCTTTGAAATTCCTGTTAAAATTTCAACAAGAATAAAAATGAATGAAAATGCACCTATTTTTGTAAACACCTAAAATATGATGCATGAATGTTAAGTTATTTGATTTCAGATTGGTGAATTGAGTATTTCTTCAATTGTAAAAACCCAATAGATCTTTCTTCTTCAAAA